AACCCTAAACCTTAAACCCTAATCCACTATACTATAGAAAGGGAGCCTTAAGGCCTTGTGTTCTGTGGAAGTTCTCTAAATTAGGGACCCTCTGAGCCGTCCTTGTTAAAAGGGCGCCATACCATCTGGGGAACTTAAACAGGAACCCTGGCTTAGAGAACTACCCATCTACTAGGGTCTAGGGTTTTGGGGTTTAGGGTTTGGGGTTTAGGGTTTAGATAGGGAGCCTTACATGGGAAGTAGTATCACTCGTCATCCAAGGGACTTCTATTGCATCCCTCAGTTCTTGTGAGACCCGAAGCCCGGGGCTGCAATGATTTAGGGTTCACTGTTTAGGGGCTTCATATAGGGTCCTACATAAGTTTTGGGGGTTCCTTATTCGAATTATAGTATAGTATATGCCAAAACCCTGTTTTAACTATTCTAATTATTAAGGCCCCTACATTGAGGGTTTAGCAAGGAGTAACTGCGCATCGGTTTAGGGTTTAGGGGTTTAAGGGCAAGGCTTTGCGACCTCAACTTGCAACCACCAAATCTAAAACCCCAAGACCCACACCGGAAAGGTGGCAGAGATAGTCGTAACTTTGTTTTCTTAGATGTAACATTTTTTGTCTTAGATGTAATGTTTTCGTTTTTCTTACTGGCCCCACCTACCCCACGTGACCCACCTGCACCGCCTGCCCCGCCTACCCAACCTACCCCGCTTACTCCCACTTTCACCTACCCCACGTAGCCCCAACCAACCCGGCAGTCAGGCTTTGCATAAGAGGAGGGAACGAGCTCATTCAGACAATCATGCGTGCGTGGCTTGAGGCCGAAACCAGACGATTTTCTTGCTCCTAGGCGGCCGTTATTTCAACTAAGCCAAGACAAGAATCCTAAGGAGTGAATACCCAAGACGACAACCCTCAGGAGTGAATACCCAAGACGACAACCCTAAGGAGTGAATACCCAAGACGAATACTCTAAAATACCCAAGACCAAAACCCTAATGAGTGGATTCACAAGGCGAAAACCCTAAGCAGTGAATCCAGCAGAAGCCTTTAACCCAAGACGAAAACCCTAAGGGGTAAATTCAACAGGAACCCCTGATTGAAGACGAAAACCTTACGGAGTGAATCCAGCAGGAAACTTCAAACCCAAGACGAAGGTCCTCAGAAGTGACCCAAGACGAAAACGCTGTGGAGTGAATTCCCAAGGCGAAAAGCTTAAGCCTAAGGTTTCCAGCAGGAACCTTTTCCCGAAGACGAAAACCCTAAAGAGTGAATTCAGCAGGAACCCTAGACCGAAGACGAAAATCCTAAGGAGTGAATCCAGCAGGAACCTTTATCCCAAGATGAAAACCCTGGAAAGTGAATTCCCGAGACGAAAATCTTAGGGAATGAATTCCCGAGGCAAAAACCCTGAGGAGTGAATCCAGCAGGAACCTTTATCCCGAGACCAGGAGTGCATACCCGGGACGAAAACCCTGAGGAGTGCTCGTCATGGAAAGGTCTTGAAGAGGCCATTCACGGAGCAGAACTGGCATGTCACCTGCATCCCCACCTTCCCAGCCTACAGCCGAATCCCTGAACTCTTAGAACCCGATTGCGCTAAGCCTCTACTCATGCACGGGTCTCAATACGAATCATAAGAAGTAATGAATAGTATCTGCTTATAGCCCGGATACAAGTGTAGTGCAACAGACCCCAACACTTATCGTGACCCGAAACCTGGCACTAGTTGTCACCGTCTTTGCTATCCGTCATCCACGTGTCGACTTTCTGGCGTTCGCTGTTGATAGGACTAGGGTGTAGATTTTAGGGTTGAGGGGTTTAGGGCTGTGGGTGTTGGGGTTTGCGGCATAGGGTCTAAAGGAAAGGGAACTGGTTTCGAGGAATGGTTTCACCTCGTCGCATCTACTTCGAACTTTTGTGAAGTATGTGCTCCTTCGTTTCATTCCGATTGCATTCCCCCTGCGTGTGCATGCGTCGGCTCACGATTGTCGGGATCCGATGGTCCTGGCCCTCCTCCTTAAAACTGAGAGTAAGCAGGCAAAAGGAAGCGGGCCTGGTGCCCGCCGTGTACGAGTAGCCATACAAGCCGTCATGGAATCACAACGTTCTGTACCGCTGCCAAACACGCCGTCGGTGCCGGCAAAGCAGCCCCAGTCCCGGGATGGACTTAGCAAGCTAGCGTGCAGTAGCTCGTGCACGCTCTTGATCCCAGAAGCACTGTGCGAACCATGCAGCCCTACCGTTCTCCTGCAAATCATGACATAGCTTTCCTGAATGTTGTTGACAAGCAAACTCAATCTCGTTGCCATCTCTGCGACTCCGAACACAGGAAGACTCTCAAATGGCAGTTGTTTGCTTTCGCTTTGACGAGTTGTGTTGCATAAGAGATGTGTCTGCTGCCGAGTGTCATGGAGCCGTTATTCCTTCACGCGTGCTAGATTCCCCTCCGGCTGATAAATTCCTCTCCGAAACAGAGCTGAGTGTGGTAAAGGTCGCGGTCTTTATGTGGCTTGGATCTTACCGATGTCTTCAGGAGCGCCTTCCGAAGCAGGCCAATTTCCACACGGCCAACTAAGTATGATACTGTAGCAGGGTGAAACAGTTGTCGGGAGCTTATTCTGCATTGTAACTTGGGAGTCTTGTGTTGGCAGGAAGGCTGCTGGGTGGGGATGGGCCTGTTGTTAAAGGCCTGTCAGGATAGCTTCTTGAACCTGAATCACCCAGTCATCGACAGCATCGGGCGTGGACTAAGTTGGCCTTATGGACTGGCTGCAGAGCACCTGCGGCCTTGGGAGCAGTGTAGGTAGCAGCCAGTTCCGAGCAATTTTCCCCGCTTTTGGAGTAGGCTGGCGCTTGGAACACCAGCCGTTCCTCCGCGTGCAAACTGTCGTGGTCATTGCTGATCCTGAAGCACCTCGAATTGCCAGGCGCTGACCCCAAGCAGTGTAAGACCAATTCAAGGCCGACAAGCTATCGCAGTTGCCGCAGTTCTACACTTAGCAAGGAGAAGGCGCACGGGAGCAAAGTGAGAGCACCAGATGCAACATTGTGGAATTCAAACCCCGGGCGAAACGAACCGCCCAACAGCCCAAGACGTTTTCGCAACATGGAAGGGCGCCAGCCTCAAAAAGTGCACGGGACCTTGCCGAGAGCACGAAGCTGAAAGCATGCTACTTAATTTTTGTTGATCAGAACCAAGTTGCGAGAATGCCGGGCCCAAGCCGGTGCCTAGGCGCAAGCGCGTTGCTGACCCAAACAGCGCGCAGCCACGACAACCGAAACTACAACAGAACCGTTGGCCTTGGATGCTGGAGCCTTTATTAGTGTCAGCACACTGTTTGGCGAATAACAACCGCGCAAACATCCTGATGCAACTGCCTTGGCGGCAGGGCTGGTGCGATGAATGCCGGTCCTGGGCCACTTTGTCCGCAGGTGCCTCAGCCCTGTCTTTGTGAGTCATGTGTAAGCAAGCGCTTGTGGGTGCGCCGGGTCGGTGCTGATTTTGATGTCAGCCCATTCCAGAAATCGCAAGAGTTTGCAAAGCCATCAGGATGGTTACTGCTTCGCTTGCCCGGATGTCGGCCAGTTTCTGCATGGGCGTACAGAGTCTACTGCGTGGCCATGCTGAACCCAGCACTCCGACTGAAATGCTGAGGTTGGGGTGCATGGTCTGCGGGTGCTTGAGTTCGCTGAACCTGGAACCAGCCTGGCGCACATCCACTCAGGTCCTACAGGTCATAAGGTATATAGGAGTTGAGGCTCCAAGGAAACGGGTCGGGTGTCAATTCGAGCTTT